TTCAAAATATTACAGATGTCCCCTTTTCTTCCACTGACCCCTTCCACCCTCTACCCAGTCCCTTACCACACTATTGTCTGTGTCCTTGGGTTATGCACATATGCATATAAATTCTTTGGTTAATCTCTCCCTGCCCACCCACCCATCCACAGCTATTTTATCCACTCATCTACTGATGGGCACTTGGGCTGTTGCCAGATCTTAGATTGTAAATCGTGCTGCTATGAACATAGGGGTGCATATATTCTTTCTGATTAGTGTTTCAGGATTCTTAGGATTTTTTTTAATTAAAAAATTTTAATGTTGACATTATTGCTGGTGTCCCCCTTTCCCTCTCCCTTTGTTTTAAGAAACTTTAGAGGCATATTTTTCAGCAGTTAAAAAACCCAAAGCATGTAAAAGTAAAAATCACAAAATGCATTTATTGACAGAGACACCTCCTTGTCAGTAGATAGTCTGTGCATATTCAGATGATAAAATAAGTTTGTGCTTGCTTAGGGCCTTGTTTTAAAGCTTTTAATGATTTCATACTATGGCATATTTGATAATCACAGAATCCCCCTGAAAAATACAGAAATTCAGGCCAGAGCAATAGGTTCTCATTAGAAAAACTGTAGGGCAGAGCAGGCCATGTTTTGTAGTAAACTTCATGAGATAATTCATGAGAGGGAGACCCGGGGTTTTATGTGCTCACAGACTCAGTATGAGCCAACAGTTTGATGTGGGCCTTTTAATATTAGGGACATATGGGGAAATGCTTCTATTATGTGCCTCACATTATAAGAATAACTGAAGAATTAAAGCAGGTTTAGAAGAAGGTGGCTGAATGGTGAGCTCTTAGAACCCGTAGCAGATAAATGACTAAATCAGGGTAGAAATACTATATGCCTATTAGGGCCAGTAGCTTATGCAAATGAGTAAAGCTGGGCTGGTGCCAGGCAATAGGGAGCCATGGAGACTGTGGTACGCTATGAAGTGCCCACCACCTCTAGAGTTGACAGTATTACCCAGCTTTAGACAATTGTTGCCATGCAGGAACGTTGTTGGTTCATTATTGCCCAGCTTTGTAGCTTTCAAGAAGAGTTCGACATTTGGATTTTTAGTTAATATTTACCAACTTTTAAAATGCTCTGCCGGCCAAGCAAAACACTGACATGGGATATCTTTGGCAGCAGCCAGCCCGTTTGTAATGCGTGGACTAAAGAAATTTGTGGTTTAGCTTAGAATAGAGTGGGAACAGTCCCAGGAGTTAACATTCATTAAGGACATTCAAATAGAAAGTGAAAGAACTAGACTAGAATCTGGGTCTCTTTTCTGTGTGTTCTTTGCCTTGTTCCATGACAGTAACTGTGACCCTTATCCCTCAGCTTCTCTGTAAGAAGCTGGTCAAGTAGACAATCAATGAAGTGAGGTTGTCCACTCATTTGAAAACCCACAGATATAAAAGCCAAGCATGAAATAAAATTGTTCTAATTGGGCCCAAATATTATGCCCCTTCTTCCTCCCTTCTTTCCTTCTTTCCTTCTTTCCTTCTTTCCTTCTTTCCTTCTTTCCTTCTTTCCTTCCTTCCTTCCTTCCTTCCTTCCTTCCTTCCTTCCTTCCTTCCTTCCTTTCTTTCTTTCTTTCTTTCTTTCTTTCTTTCTTTCTTTCTTTCTTTCTTTCTTTCTTTCTTTCTTTCTTCTTTTTTTTTTGGTATAAAGAATGGTTACTGCATGAGCCAAAGGAAAAATACCCAAAGAAAAGATATTGGATCTTGAAGATACATTGTATGGCTTTCATTTGACTATGGCTTGGCCTTTGGATTACAACATAATTTTTGTTTTTTAATAATGAAAAACTATTGGATGCAAGAGAGGGATGAAAGGTAGATAAAATTTTCCTAATAATGTCATTTGTTACATTTTGGGATTGTGTCCAGTGCTTGACATGAACACATGTGAAAGGCCCACTACTCTGGTGAATGTCTCCTTATAATGTGCTAGCTCTTGTCAGTCATCCTGAAAAAAATACCCAGAAAGTGCTGTGGGGCCATTCTGTCTGGAATACCTCCCCACTAGTGATCACAAGCCTCAGCGGATTCTGGAAATTCCGGAGAGCTGGGCAGAGCTTTGCTCACACACAGGGTTCTGGGCCATCTGGTCCTACAGGATGGGCCAGTGCCCTCTCTCCTTGCCCTCCCCCCACGGTGCTGCTGAACATGTCACAATTTGCCTTTTGATGGTGCAGAAGGAGCCCAAACTTGTCTTTTCCAATTCAGACATTTCTGAAGATCATGAAATAGTAGATGAAGAAATTACTGTGTCACTGGGTTACTGTAACATTATTTTGACCTCATAGTTCTAGGAAAAGTAGCAGGCAGATTTTGGGTGTGATCTGGGAAATGTGTATGAGAAACAGAACCCAGTTATGAGATGAGTATTGTCCACCCTGTATCAAGTGCTCCGAGGGTCAGAGAGAAGAACTCATCCTGGTGCGAGGAAAAGGCACAGCATTGTTATAGGGATTGCTAGAAACAAACACAAACAAAAACAAACACACTCCCCCCGAAAACAAGAAAACCCATTTGTACCCTCGCTGGGAAATGGAATGCTATCTCCAGGAAATACTGCTTTTCTTATGGCAGCTACTGCCCCCGCCTCTTGGAGCGAAGGACCCGCACAGCCAAGTGCGTAGAACCAGCCTGTACGAGCTCAGGATCTGCAGGCCTTGCGTAGACACACGTGTCAGCCATCCGGAACATGCCTCACCAGGATTTACTCTCAAGAAGAAAAATAGAGATTGAGGAACGTAAACTGAGCGAACACTTTTCTAATAATTTTCTAATAGCTAACGTTTACTGTCTTGAAGCTGGGACATTCATTAGAGGTGTGCAGAACATAGACGCATCTGATAAGAAGAAATTGAAAACAACGAACCAACCCACCCACTGCAACTAATCAAGTGGAAGAAAACCTGTTCCTCCTTCCAGGCTGTCCTTGCAGAGGTGGGACAGGTTACCCAATAAGGGAGTGTGACTGGAAGGAACAGAGACAAAGAGGTGTCTCCAGCGGTAGGCATGTCTGAGAGGGCACACATTTAACAACAGCTACAGTTTGCTGAGCTAGACCTCGTGTTAAATTAGCTGATTGAATCATGCACAAGAACCTTATGGTAAGGCTGTCACCCTCCTCACCTGCAGCTCAGGAAAGTGATGCCCAGTGACGTTAGGGAACCTCCCTCAGGCCAAAACTAAGAAAATGGTGGAGATTTGAATTTGTCTGCTTCCAGAGCTAGAGTCTTACCCACTCTGCTGGGCTGTCTATAGATGGTGTAGGAAGTGTGGCTGAAAGAGCAAAAGTAATGAACAAATGATGAAGCAAAGGAAAAGTCAGGCCTTTCCTGTCCGTGGAGAGAAGAGAAGAGGTTAGTGGAATAGAGAGTAGGCTGGAATATAAAGGAACGGCTAAGAGCAGGGAAGCTCTTTAATTTTTATTTAAGAATGTGAAAAGGTACACAGAGAGGGCGCCTTGAGAGCCAAGAAAGGGAAAAGAACCTAATGGCTGGCGTGACAAAGTCCATCTCCACAAATCAGTATTATGATCAAATTACTGAAGGAGCAAAAGCGTTTCTAAGCTCGATGCATTTGCTGTTGATTTTTTTCAAGACTATGGAGAAGAGATTGCCAGCTCAAGGGTGGATAATGTGAGTGCGCTGCTTGAGTGTAGGTAATATGGAGTGGTGGGGACTGTGGCAAACTGAAGGCTGCACATCTTGTCTAAAAGACTGTTTGGAAGTGGTAGTCGATCTGGAAATGCTGGCTAGTTTTGCCAGACCTGATTTTTTTTTTTTTTAGAAGCCAGAAATGGGTCTATTTATGTAAAGTTTCCAAATGGTTCAATGTTGGCTACTAAATCACATGAAAAATTCCTGTGTGGACTGATCAAAAGATTTGTAGGTGAAATTTGGCCCATCCCTTGCCCATGTGCTCCTTAGGTGTAAAGGATGCCTGTGCGTGCACTGGTGCCCCATGTGAACATTTTCTCCCCAGTCTCCTAGCGTCTTATCCTTGAAACCTGGCTCAGAGGGCGACTGCTCCAAGGAATTTTCTCTGGCTCTCTCTCCCCTGAATGTACCCTTCACTACCTCCCCCGGTACTTCGCACACCGTGGGCATGCTTTTGTTTGCCGGCCTCTCTCCTCTTCTAGCCCGTGGGCCTTTCGAGGGCAGGGGCTGTGTCTCCCTCATCTCTGTAGCGCACACCTCAGTGATGAAGTGACAGGTTTCAATGACAATAAGATGAAGAGGTCATGGTTGGCATACAAATGGAGGGTAGCGGTGACTTTTGCAGTCAGGAGGAGAGTATGAAAGCCTACAGTTGATTAACATGGCTGAACATTGATTACAGGGGTTTTGCAGTAATTTTGCTGCTTTAAGCCCTACCAGTGCCTGTTATAAACCCAGCAAGAAAAGGTGCTAAAAAAGAAGTGAGAACAATAATAAATAAGGCACAGGGCGAGGAAGATGGGAGGAGAGGGCAAACAGAGGCTAACGACTGAAAACGGAAAAATGGTAAAATGTTTTATCAAGGACTACCTAAGGAAGCCTGAGCTTAGAAAATCACGTTTAGGTTGTATCAGATGGGACTGGGAACGAGCGTGCGCAAAGAATTTTAATCTTAGAGCTGAAGTGTGGCAGAGCTCGCCGCACAGACTGGGCACTGGGTCAATTATTGTTGAATGAATCTAGCGACACGGACGTGTACAAATGAGCAAGAAACGAGAAAAGTAGGCTGGAGGTGAAAACACAGCGATGCGAGGAAGAGAGAGGATCGAACACGCACGATCACAATGAACATTTATTATAAATTGATAGAAAGCATTTATGTAAATGTGCTTGACTTTGGAGTGTAAAGAATTGTAAATATGTATGATATAAAGATGTCCTTTTAAAAAATAAAATGCCATTTGAGAGCAAAAGGAGATGCTAGATGAGAAATGCTTTGGAAAGTGCAAAGTACTGAACAAGAGGAATCGGATATGAAAAATCTGAGCTTGCAAAGGGTTTACGTTATGGGAAGAATATGCCCGACACAATACGGGCCTTCGGCATATAAAAAAGAGGCCTCGAGCCTAAGGGTTTCTTTTCAGATTGGAGGAGGGGGCAGAAGAACATGATAGTTGAAGCCCACTGTCATCTCTCAACTCTGGCTCCTCCTAGTGGTGTGACTTTCCTCTGAGTCTAGTTTTCTCCAGGAAAGTGGAGATAATAATATACACACGTTAGGGGGTTGCTGTGAGGATTAATGAAGACAAGGCGTGTAAGGCTTTGGCACCAAGCCTAGCACACTGCAAACACTCCGTAAATGCCAGCTGTTATTATAAACTACTTGACAGGAAAGTCAGGGGGCAGAGAAACTTAAAGCATCTCTATAATTACACGAATTGTGATGAAACAAGTTAAACTCTTGCTTGGTTTTCTTTTAAATTGGATTTTGTAAGCTAACCATGACTTTCTCTGTATCTGAGAGCAGTTGCTAGGAGAAACTGGCAAAAGGCAATAAAGTGGTGAACTCAGCCATTGTTCCTAAAATAAGTATGAAATGAGATGGGAGGCTTTGGAACGACTTCTTTTCAGAGGGAAAAAACAACTTCCCAAATGAGAAGTCAGGGTAGGATGCCGATGATGGTGGGAGACAGGCCTAAAGCAAGGGATGCAGACACCGCGCTCCTGCAGAACGCTGGGGCTGAGCCTCCGGGACCTTGTTTTGAAAAATGTACACAATTATTTATGGAGGTATATATTTATGCACCGTAGGAGGGTCACTTAAGCTGGGTGTTTGCGGAAAACATAGAAGAACCTATAGACATATATACCCATTTTACAGGAGGAAAAATAAATGGTTGGAGGAGACAATTTACACAACAGTCAGGTGCACAGGTGTGACGCCCACAGAGCTGGGATAGAATTGATGCTATTATCAGCTGTGTGAATCAAACATGTTTCCTTCCTAAGGCTCTGTTTCCTCATCTGTAAAGATGAGACAAGCACTATCTGCTCAGGAGAGTTACCACAAGGCTGACATGAGACAGAGCTTGTAAAGTGCAGCGTGTACTAGGAGCTCCGAGACAGGCTCCCGCTGGTGGTTCCGACGTTACGGTTCAGAGGTAGGAAGCATTCCGTCTCGCAAGTACTTGTGAGGCGTTCTCACGTATCACCCCCATAAAAACGTAATTTATTGAATTGATTTCTATTCAAGAGTATCGAATTTCGTTTTGGTACCTATAAGAAAGCTTTAATAAGAGGAATGCATATGCTGATGTTAATGAAGCATTTGTAGTTAATTTATCCTGGATCAGTTGAAGGGTTTTGGGTCTCTCTCACATTGATGTTTCTTTCTCTCTGCCTCGCCTCCTCCTTTCCACTCTTAACTCTGCTTGGGGCATGCATTTTGCAGGGTTAGTGTCTTTAGAAAGTAAAAGAAATTTCTGAAACCTCTGGCCTGGGTTGATGGATTTATGGCTAAATCAACGAAGGGTGGATTCAGGTTATGAAAAATGATTTATAACCCTTCTCTTGCATAAAGTACCTCATCCCCTTTGTCTGTTTCAGGGTCTGCCTCTGCACACATCTCGGTGGGAATTGGGAGACAGAGGTTTGGTGTCATTCCCCTCCCCCCAAATTACTATTCATGTTAAGCTCTCAAGGATGAAGAAAGGCCGCCCTAACCAGTTCAGCTCAGTGGTTAGAGCATCTGCCCGAGGACTGAAGGGTCTTGGGTTTGATTCCTCGGTCAAGGGCGTTTACCCCGGATCCCTTGCCTGTGTGGGAGGCCACCAATCGATGTGTCTCTCTCACATCGATGTTTCTTTCTCTCTGTCTCACCTCCTCCCTTCCACTCTCTCTAAAAAAATCAATGGAAAAAATATCCGTGGGTGAGAATTAACAAAAAAGAAAAAAAAAAGATGAAGAAAGGTCTGTGAGAACAATCCCAGCTGTGAGCGAGTATCTGCAGTTTGGATCCTCCAGCTAGTTACCTTTTGGTCTTTGTGACTCTCCTAGATGCTGTTTGTGACATAAGCCAGCCTCTCCAAGTGGCCATGCATCATGTGGTGAGAAAGACTGAACAAATATAACCCTGCCAGATGCTTTACCTAAGTTTCTCCCGAGAAAACCACAAAATGCCTTTTATGAGGTCATTTAAATGAGTTACACTGATAATAAGCAGCGAGATTTACAAATACATATCTAATGGCTCTCTTTAGTCATACTAAATACGGCAAATGGATATTCTAGAGGTTGCTAAATCAAATGCTAAGTGCCTCAGCCGTTTGAAACTCACCAAGTGTCTTTCCTAATGAAAAACATAATGCTGGCTGACTAGGCTGCTACCCAAATGGCCCCTCCTGGCCCGGGTGGGACAGAGGGGGAGTTCGAAGCCGAGAGAAGATTCTGAACACGACGCACTTTAAGCGCAAAAGCCTGCGTGGCTCACGCATTCCAGAGCCTACGCCAGGCTCTTCCCGGCATATATTTAAAGTTAAGTTCAAACCCGACCCTACCGCTTTTGCAAGCTTCACGCCGTGCTCGTACGTGAGAGGCTTCTCTTTCATGTACAGCAAACGGGCCAACGTTTTGGGGTCGTCACGGAGATCAATCTGGCAAAAAAAACACTTGTGATAAACTCATTCTCTGTTCAGGCAGGACCAGGTATTTTAAACTGTGACATAATGGAGATATTTCCCCACACCTTGACATCTAAATATGAAGATGCCAAATTTTCTTTATGGAAGCACACATACGTGCCCATATTATGTCTGAAAATTAAGTGACTTCTTTGTAAATGTATACATCAGGCTTTCCTGGTCCTTTCCCCTTCAAAGCCATTACTCTGGGAGCTGAGGACTTTCTCCAACGAGTCTGTGGCTGTCTCAGATGTTTCTGAAATTTCCTATTTATTTCCAGAGCATTCTGATAGGGCAAACAAGATAATCGATCAGTCAGGGCCTTACAGTGAGGCTCATTTGATCCCAAATTACATTATTCATTTTTAATAGTTTATTTCTTGGCAAAATAGATATATTTTGGTTTTTTAAAACCAATCTTTACCCTCAAAGAGATGAAGATTTGCCACATGTGAGAATATTCTAACGAATGTGCTGCGCGCTCTGAAGGCAAATCCTAAAGAGTGTTAAGCGTCGATCTTTTCAAAGGCAGACCTACTCTGAAAATAGCATGTACGTTTGGATTAGGTTTTATAATTTAACTGAATATTTTAATTGCTTTACAATCTCAGTGTGTATGAGAACCCACGCATACATGAATGGATGTGAATGTGGGCACGTGCAGGCTTGTGTTTTAAACAAAAACTAATATATTCACATATGAGGGTCCCATCGATAAGCACATTGTACAGCTTTACTGATTTGTGTAGTTTTTTGGTTTTTGGCCTCAATTGTTCGACTTAGTGCTCAAATCATAGAGAGACCGTCACACGTCCCCTCACATATTTTGACCCCAGGAGATCCCATCTCCATCAATATGGCCAAACATCATCACCTGGAATCGAGGCAAAGGGCTTCATTTAAACAAACAAATAATTAGCTGTCAGAGCAGAAGCATCCACTGTATTATGATTTATGAATGTGTTAATTACATATCCATATCTTCTCTAGGAAATATTTTTCTGTCTTTATTTATTTTTAAAATTTCTTTTGGTCAAGCAGAATATACCATGAGAAAGAGCAAGCAGCCCATGTAACAGATAACAACAAAACCCTTCAGTATTTTTCCTCTCTTTGTCTTTGGGATAGTAATTTGGGTTTAATAAAGCAAAGAGCAAAAGCTATTTAAAACTATAAAAAGTTGGAACCATATTTAACACCTTTGTGCAATTACTGCTGGAAATTCAAACAATGGAAATTTATTAGCTCTCAAAACACTTCAAAGGCTCTCCCAGCCGCAGGTCTGTTCATCTGGCGTATCTGTCTTCACTCTGTTCTAAGACTGGAAGACCACGGGCTTAAAGGGAATGGAGTGAATTTCTGTCTTCCTTCCCCAGGAGAGTCACCACGGCGTTCCTGTCACAATGCCACTGTTTACTTTGACATTCACACCTATTTTGTGACTTTCAGACAATCATGGGTTTTAGATACAAAAAAGATTAACTGATAAGTGTAATTGACATCCCACTTCATTCCTCTGGCTCCCAGCTAGAGAAAGGTGCCGATTTCAAAAAGTACTTAGTTATTTAAAAATAAAAAGCGGAGAGATTAATTTTTAAAGGTGACAACAATTCTTTCTGCTCCACATTAAGTAGCTCTCTTGTCTTTTCAATTCTTGCTAAATGATGCAGATTTTAAGAATGGCTGCTCGTAGGATTGATCTGAGATCGTATTCTATAGTGTTGGGTAGAATAAGGTGTTGGAGAGACACATAAAGGGTCTTC